AACGAATAGAGTCATTTAATTTTGTTCAATGTTTGAGAGCATTGGTTCATCGATCCAGTTGAGCTAGAAACAAAAAGGTATCCATCCATCCATCCATCTAATGGTGCACACATAGTAGCTGCAACTGCAACATGAGCTTGCGATCGTGAGAACTGATCTTAATTGATTTCCACATGCACTCAGTGCCACAGATGTCTTGGCCATAGTTCAACATCTACGCATGAGCGTCACAAATCCGATGTAATCTTGCACAGCTATGTGTTAGGATCTAAGAGATCAGTTCAGTTCAGTTCAGTTCAGTTCAGTTGAGTTGAGTTGATTTGAGTTGAATTGAGTTCGGTTTATAAAGCTCTGAGCTTAAAGGCCTTTGAGGATGCCTTTTCAAAGTGTATTTTTATGAGTAAAGCGAACCGAATCTTTTGCCATCTGGCTAGGCTACGGTTGACTCTATATATATATATATATATATATATATAGATTTATATATATATTTGTGTGTGTATGGCTCTTATCTAAAAGACCAAGCTTTTGGCCTGCGGCATGTTGCTGCAATTTTTCATTATTCGTACTGTTTTAAGTGATCGATCGAAATTAAATAAGAAAAGTAAGCAACGAGAAAGGAGGAAAATGGCCTGGTGATTGCCTGGCGTCCCACAAAAAGGGATCCCAGCGACTGGCACCCAAACTCGCCGCTTTGCCTTGCTTTGCTTTGCTCTCCGACTTTGACTCTGGCTGTGACCGTGATTCTGACTCTGACTCTGACTCTGACTCTGGCTGCGGCTGCGGCTGTGCGGCTGTGCGGCTCTGTGGCAGTGTGGCAGTGTTTGTGGCCGCTTGTTGAGGTTGTGGCTTCGGCTTTGGCTGCTTGGGGAATGCGATGGTTAATGTACGTTTAGATACGAAGACATGTAATTTTCCCAGCCCCATTGCGATCGGTCGCACTACAAGCTGACTCTGCCTCTGCCTCTGCCTCTGCCTCTGCCATTGATTCTGACTCTGACTCCGACTCTGAGTGCGACTCCTACTCCATTCGTTGACCATAGCTGGACCATTGCCAGCCAGCCAGCCAGTCAGTCGCTTATTCGCACCCGACCCTCCCGTTTTCCGTTTCCTTTTTTATTTTTGGTTTTTTGACCTGGACAGTTGTCAATGGGGCAGATCACAAGAACGCAGAATGCAGCTGAGCATAGGAACGCCTGCGGAACTGGCTGGCAACTGGCTGCAACTGGCTGCCCGGCAACTGGCAACTGGCAACTGGCTGGCAATCGTGCACTGACTGGCACTGACGTCGTCTATGATGACGGCCCATGATAATGATGCTGCTACGCTATGCTATGATGTTGCCATATTGATATATTGGTGGGTATATGCTGTATGGCTCTCGATTCTCGATTCCTATTACATGCCGGCTACTTGTGTGCTCGAGTCCACAGCCCCAACCAACTTCCTACAAACTTATGGAGATGCACGCAAGATGCCTTCGGCCTAATCCTTTTCATTCTCATTCTCATCCACATAGTCATCGTCATCATCAACGTGCTCATCGTCATTTTCATTGTTGTTGTTGCACTTGTTGTTGTGATTCTGTTTGCTGTTGTTGTTGTTGTTGCTGTTGCTGTTGTTGTTGCTGTTGCTGTTGCGGTGGCTGTGGTTTTCTGTTTCATTTGAAACCACCTGCACATGCACCTGTAAGCAGTGCTCAGGTGAACGACTCCCATTCAATCTACAAATTTATCCAAAATCCCTTGGGGAGTGCTTCATAGTAGCAAGTGGTCAGGGGGGAGTCCGAATCAAGGGGTCAACTTAAAGATGTTACAAAAAATCCTCCAGTTCACTTATAGGCAATATGTGTAAGGAGTAGAAGCAATTAAAACTCAGTGGATGCATCGGGGCAAAAAGTTTTCATTTAATTCTTAGATATTCCCAAAAATGTTGGTTTTTCAATTGTTTACGATTATTATTACAAGCTAAGCTAAGCTCAAGAATAAGTTGACAATATGGATTCAGAAATCATGATTTATCCTTCAGTATAATTGTTGTTGTTTTCAACATTCATCGATGGCAACCAGGGTATTAGATAATCATGGATTTTGTTAATATTTTTGGGAAAATCGACCCTTCCCTTGTCTGCCATCTGTCTTATGACAGTTTTGCTCTCCGCCTGTGGCCTGGCCGCTATTTAATTAACGAATGCATCAGGAGATCTGCAGATCAGCATCGCTATATGCTCAGTTCGATGCACACATTGCCCGGCTGCTGGCTGCTGGCTCCTCATGTGCCTCAGATTGTGGCCAGTGCTTGCTCAGTGGTGCTGGGCCAACTGAAACATACGAATAGACATAACTGCAGCGCAAATTGTTTACAATTCGAACAATTTTTGCCGCCTCTGTTATCTACGAGCTGCTATCTTAACGAACACGCAGCTCCAGAGTAATAGTAGCCCAACCACAAAAGCAGGAGATGGGCACCTCCAAGTAAAACTAAATACAAAACGAGCCAAATCCAAAACCAAAACCAAAACAAAAACAATCCAAACGAACCCATCACACCATCACCAAGTATCTCATGCCTCGCGTTGTTTGGTTCGTATTGGTTAATTTGGCATCATTCATCGTGGCCAAAGCCAAATGTCATGCGATGGCTAAGACCCCAGTTCGCTAATTACAGTCTCTTGTTTGTCCATGTGTGTGTGTGTGTGTGTGTGTGTGTGTGTGTGTGTGTGTGTGTGTGTTGTGGGTAATAAAAGCTTCTGACTAAGGAATCAGAGGACTTTACACTACATCACGCAGCGTGCTAGATCGAATGCAATTGATTGCCACAACCTGGGTGTCATTCTTATCGAGTCAGTGGCCAGTGGCCAGTTTTTGCACCACAACGCAACACAACACAACAGCACAGCACCACTATTGTCATTTTGAACGTCATTAATAATAGCTGGATTTGGAACTTTGGAGCGACCACAAAATATTTAAGGTTTAATTAACTTTTTCGACCTTGAGACAAAGCATCTAAATACATTGTTATCGGATTGGCGTTCGGGAGTTAAGCAACCGATTCACCTAAAACCGATTCTACTAACAATATAACTCGGTCAAGATGAATAAAATAATTATAATAAAATTGTTATTTCCAGCAGGCTTTGTTTAATATCAAAATCTCTCAATTTTGTCCTCATGCTAATACTTAAGTTAATTGTTTAATCTCTATATCATCTTAATATTGATCTTCTTGAATTGGTTGTTCACCATCCGAGTTAAGTTAATATAGCTATATTAATTCAATCAGATAACACTTAATTTTTATTAGTTTAACAACGCCTTGGTTGTTGTTAAGTGAATCCCAATTCGATCTGAAAACAAACCCAATTTCACAATTTTTAAAACAGTTCCGATCTATGCTGAAGTCGTAATTGTTTCTCAAAATGAGTACAAAACGGATTCCAATCAATGAAGATGCAAGATGCAAGCTGCCTTGCAGACTGGACAAACAAAAAATCAGCGGCAGATGCAGAGATTCCAAAAATGATCCAGTTTTGTTGAGACTCTTCTGTGCCTGAGAAATTTTCAAATTCCACGAGGGGGATAAAGCTGTATCTGTAGCGTAATCGTCGAGAAGTATTTAAACGTAACTGGGAATCACTGACCCATCAAGTTGATGCGAACTGATCCACTTTTGCGCTTGGTCAGTTGGCTCTGTTGACATTTGTTGCCAATTGCCAGTTGCCAGTTGATAGTTGATAGTTGCTTGGCCAACGGAGTGCTTCAAAGTGGTGCAGTCGATTCGAGTGGTCTGTGGTCTGTGGAGTGTGGAATGGAATGGAGTGGAGTGGAGTGGAGTGGCTAGCTGCCCGGGCTCGCATAATATGAGTATGCAATCGCCGGAGGTGGAAACAACAAACAGATCTGTTCGCGACGCTGACGTCGACGCCGACGCCGACGCCGACGCCGACGCCGACGGAGACGGTGACTGTGTTGACGATGTCGACGATGTCGACGCTGGCGTTTGCGTGTCAAGCGACATCATTTGCATAACAATGCTGGGGACGATTCAAATTTTTGGTCTCCCAGAGCAATTTTCAGACACACACACACACACATAGATAGAGAGAGAGAGAGAGACGCCCTCTGGCACCTGCTCTTACACATTTAGATATCAACGAGTACATTAATGATTTTCAGTTGAAGTCACCGTCACCGTCACCGTCGTCGGCGGCGTCACAAATCGCTGGCAAATACTTGCACACACGCGTATGCATATGACATTATCCAAGCCATTCAAGACACTAGCCACACACACAGAGTGCGAGAGAGAGAGAGAGAGAGAGATGTAGGGCGTTCTTCAGCTGCGTTGGGTTGCGTCGCCAATGCGGAACGGAGCGGAGCGAAGCGGAGGTGTGCTGTGTGGTGCGGAATCGCGATCGGCGAGCTGCAAGGCGTTGGCGGGGCCACATGTCTAGCGACCGGCCCGACCCGGCCAACCAGCTGTTGAATAATTTATGCGCCACTGTTGTCAGCGGCACCTCCTCCAACTTCAACTTCAACTCAAACTCCACTTCCAACTACACTGCGAGATCAAAAGCCAAAGTGTTTGCCAGCATTTTGTATATTTGTTAATACAGATTGAAATCGAAGCGTTCTTAAACCAACAAAATGTATTTCAAGTTCATCTAGTGCAGTTTTGACAGCACATCAGGGATTTCAGCAGTAGCATTTAGTGGCAAAGGCTTCCAAGCTCGTTCCAGATATCTTCCAAAATCGGTCCATTGTGTTCCAATTATAATTAATAATTTAAATTAGTTGAGAGAGGGTGAACTCCTGTTAAGTACAATATTTGCGTTCACTTCCAGTGAGTTTTACAATGTGGAACAGTTTGTTGTTTTTTTTTTCAGTGCACAGCTATTGCAGCCACAACAACTGCAAACCATTCCACACACAGCTTGGCAATGTCGCATCTCCGAGCGACTGTTTGCTTTGGGCTTTTCACGTAACCCCGCAGCTCGTTGGATCGTCGGATCGTTGGATCGTCTATGGGAGAATTATTTGCGTTCGCCTCCTTGCGTTTCTAATTAAGCGAGAGAAATATTCAAAACCTTTGCTATTGTTTCAGCGATTTTCAAGTTCAATTTACATAACATTCCTAACCGCCCCGTCGCGTTGCGTTGCGTCTCGCCTCGTCTCGTCTCGTCTCGTCTCTCTCTTTAATATATATATATGTATATGTATATATTTTTTATTCATTCATTTCATTTCATACAAACTACTCACTAACTACATACATGTACAAGCTGTTGTTGTTGCTTTTGGCGAGATATTAAAGTCACAGCCTTGAATTGATAATCTGATGGCAATGCGAAAGGTTCAAGGCCAGCGTCACCCTGGTCAAAGGTCACAATTGCAGTCGCTGTTATGTGTATCCGATGGATACGCGGATTCTTCAATTGCGTCTAACCATGTTCAGTAATGTGTTACCGCACGAAATTACTCCTCGGTTTCATAATTGAGTTGAATGCAACAGAGCCAGTTCGTAATCAATGTGTTAGCGTTAACCCTGGACAGCATCTGATCGGGGCAGCTGTTGATGCTGCATTGCTGCCATTGGCTTCAGCCTCAGCCGCAGTCTCAGTCTCAGCCTCAGTGTCAGCTTCAGCCTCAGTGTCAGCTTCAGTTTCAGCTTCAGTTTCAGCTTCAGTTTCACGTGAAGCTAATGCCGCAAACCTTGGTGTGACGAGACCCTTTGCTCCTTTTCCCCTCCGTTGATCGCAATCTTCCATTAACTCCAACAGCAGCTAATATTTGATAATATTTTATTATTTATTTAAATTTAGAACAAAATAAAAGATTAAATAATTATGACAAGCTTGTGCTGAATTTTTTTGTCAATATGAAAAGTCACCTCACCGATTTCATTTGACTCAAGTTCATATATGTATTCTAGATACATTTATGTATATATTTTTAGCTATGTTAATAGGGCTGGTCTCCCGATTATCATTACAGAAAATCAGGGTTGACAAAAACATAATACACATAATAATTGTAAGAAGAGTCTGGGTTAAAGGTTAAAACCTGTTGTGAATAGCATGGCTGCGAGTGCCTTCTGTTCTAATAGTGAAGAAGACTCGTCATCAATCAAATTAATATAATAATATATATAATATAATATAATCATCCAAATTAATAATTCCAACGGCAGATAATATTGCAGTTCTTTGACTACTATTTGACTATGTCAATTACCCTTTTAAGTAGAAGCAACTAGACTGAAAAATATTTGAAAATATTATTATCAATTTTTAATAAGACTATCATTTAATGAAATATGAAATTTACATGTGAATCTCCAAATTAAAAGACTTAAAATTAAAAAAAAAAACAATTTGAAAATTGAATTGAATATTTTAGACGTAGATATAATAAAATATTTGGGGATTGTAATCAAATTATATCGAACTTAGTGAGCACCTAGTATGAGGAGAATACCCAATTAATATGTTAGTTTAATATAACAAAAATTAACAATAACTCAGACTATCAGCCACAAACAACAACAAAAACAAACCAACTTAATTACGGCACTTATGAAATTCTTTAAATTCTCTTCTTTATTCAATCAGAATGAAGAACACATTTAATTACTCTAGCACATTACATACATACTTCAATTGATAAATGCATAAATTTAAATTTAAAAGGTAGACAAGACTATCAACAGTCATCAAGAAAAAGACCTGGAATCGCTTCACACGAAACCCACAAGACACAAACTTGTTGTGATGTAAAGTGTTAAGTCACAAGTTGTTTTTTTTTAAATGCGAAATTTAAATGAGCTGTTGACTACATAAACAATAAATTGACCAAAAGAAAAGGCCAACACCAACTAGTCTGCAACTGTTTTGCGCCTGTCGGCAATATTCGCGGGGCAAGCAGCAATTGTCCGACTGCTGCAATTAAGGATGGGCTAAGCTGTGAGCACGCAAGGAATGGAATAGAACACAGGGCCAATGTACAATGTACAATATACAATGTACAATATCCAATATCATGAATGATAATAATTTATATACATAAAATATTGTACAATCATCGTCTAACGCCATTATCAAGACACACAGCCCCGACCACTATCACCATCCTTATCCTTATCCTTATCCCCATCCCTATCCTTATTCCGACCCCTATCCGGAATTGTACGTCTGATGCTGCATTATTATGCTGTCATTTTCAAATAGAAATCCAAATTCTCGCGATCCGCTGCGGCAGCCCTTATGACGAGCACGATATTGAAGAGATGGCCAAGGCCATCTGGCATCGGATCAGACAGCATGGAGGACTCGCTGCCATCCTGCTTGCTGCTCAGTGTTTGTACAGGCCACAATACAGGATGAGTATTGTGCCTACGCACATTCTGGCCTTCGTGTATACATTGGTTAGTGGCATTGGTCTCCATTGTTAAGACACTTACGCAACATATTGTATATGGTCCTGGGCATGTACTCGTCCCAAGGGTCGTCCTCGCTCTAAGGGTAAGCATTAGGTAAGGGTAGTCCAAATCTAGTTCACAAACATGTCCTATCTGCGGTGGTTGTGCGCTCATTCTGTTTTTGTTGTTGTTGTTTTTTTGCCTCTTTCATCCCGGCAGCAGAGTTCTCACAACTAAATACTTTTGCGGTAATTGTCAGGCGTATCTTTTCAAGTTCAGTACTTACCTAAGTAAATACGCGATTACATAACGGTTCGCGTGTGTGTGTGTGTGTCTCTCTGTGTGTGTGTGTGTCTCTCTGTGTGTGTGTGTATCTGTGTGAGTGTCTGTGCTTGTGGGAGTGAGCTGTTTGAGTAAACTTCCAGTATTATTCCCCACACAAATTGGGTTTCAGTTGAGATTAATATACATATGTAATCGAGTGATTGACAAGGAAAAGCTTGTAAGATCCTTAAGTGGTTGCTTGACTATTATATTCGACCTTGGGTTAAAGTATATTTTGAAATAATCCATATTATGGAAACCATTTTTCTAGATCTGCTTGTCCTTAATGGAGTCTACCCTTAAAGCAGGGCTAACGTTTATGTGTTGACCGATTAATATTGTTGATGTTTCGGAGTTTTAAACACTTATTCCATACACAAGCAAGCAAGACAGAGCTTGACTAACAAATACCCTGTACCCAATGACAGATTCTTCATGCTTCAAATAGCAAACGGGCATTTAAGCAAAATATATAATATTAAAATGTCTTGGACATACATAACCAAAGTGTTATCCAAATTGCATATAAGCAGACAAGCAGACGGATAGATAGACAGACAGACAGATAGACGGATAATAAATAAAATATATATATATATATAGTGAGAAGCCCCATATTTTGTGCATTTCTTATATGATTTCAGTTTATTGCCGCAAAATTTGTCATATTTGCTAATTCTCTATTAACTTCTCAGTAGAATAGTTATTAGTTATTGTTTGAGATTTGAAAGAGCGACCGGGAGACAGAGAAGCAAACAGAAACAGAGAGAGAGGGAGAGAGTCTAAGCGAGAGAGAGAGAGAGAGAGAGAGAGAGATGACAACGCCATTGTCAATTTTCTTTTGAATAACGACACGGTTTGTGAGTGATAGCGTTACTTGGAACTACTTCAGTGTGTCTACGAGGTACGTACTGGCATATGTATCTAATTAAGTCAAAATTTATGCGCGTGTTCAGTGAGGACGATGAAACAAACGGCAAACGGCAAACGGCAAACAGCAAATAACAAACAGCAATACAGCAAGCAGCAAAACAGCAGCAGAGAAAAAAGTAAACGGCAAACTGCACAGCCCACGACGATACTATTTTCTTCATTTTGAGGCATTAATTGCGACCGTACTGGGTAATAATTGCAACTACGAAATCAAAGTTACATGGCTACGTACGTGTATGTGGTGGGCCCTAGAGATGGTCGCGTGTGGAATGCTTTCATCACGAAACGAACAAAACTGTTTTTAGTCACATGCATTTATTATTTTTATCTTACTTAGCACTGCGTACTACTCTGAACCCAATCAAAATATGTTAAATGGGGTCTAATGAAGTTGTGTGAATCTGTCTCACAGCATAGAAGGGAATATCTTTAATTCCATCTTTAATTCCATCTTTAATTCCATCTTTAATTCTTCGAAAACTAGAAAATATCTGATTGCAATATAAGTACTCGTATACCACACGCAGATCAGCTTGTTATGTCTAATACTGATAAGAATCGATAATAAACACATATTCTATATACATATATATATATATATATATATAACACACATTTGATCAAAATCGGGATTGGAAGTTGTTAATGAAAGCGTTTATTCTTATTTAAAAAAGCAAGCATTTTTGCCTGGGAAATATTTGTTTGCTGCCTGCCGCATCATACGATTAGTTCCGATCGAAATAAATATTACTTACAACGGCATTTTCCTCAGTTGAAATGGGTTTTCAATCACAGTTCGTGCCTGTCCCGCGACCATCTTCAATAGCCAATCCCCCCCTGCAGATGACGGAGATGCGTGCTCGGCGACGGCGACGGCGACGGCGACAGCGACAACCAGCCTCAGCCATTGGCCATTGGCCAGAGCCGCAACTAGCTGAGCTATTTGAGCAATATGAGCTATATGAGCTATATGAGTTATATGAACATTGAGTAGCAGTCGTTGTGGCGAGAGGGCATACTGAGAAAAAATCACAGGCTTTAATAAATAGTTGAAGTTTTCAATATAAACTGACTTCATTTAATATCGACAAGCAAATATATATATCGTATGACCTTTTCAGATTCACACAATTAGCAATGGAATAACTTAACTTGCAAGTGTTTAATTAACTTTTATTGTAAGCAGATGTGTTGAGTAAGAAAATAAAAGGAGGAAATTGTTTAAACAAGCGAGTGTTATTTATCTAATTATCGCATTAGTTGCTACTAAAAACTAATGACATAGTTGAATTTAGAACATTTGCATTAACGCTTTTCTCAATTTCAGTTTTCGTTTTATCTAATTGTTATTTTATTATTGGATTTTATAGCTTTATCTTGATTATTTCGTTAAATTTGCGGACCACATAAAAAGCTGACTTTTAAATGAATAATTCGATAAGGCAACTGCCAACAATTTGGGTCAAATACAATTTAAACAACAGCAAATGGACTTGTTTCTTTGCATGTGAGCATTATTAATTCATAGCACACTTTTGCTTCAACTTAACACATAATTCTCGCAGTGTATGAGTACTTTGGGCCTTTGAATGCATTGGTGTACTGGTCTTACTTGGGAGTGGTGCTTAGCTACATGCTTGAGAGCTGTGGCCGTGCAAAGGCGCAATATCTAGCCATAATAAATCCATTTAATATATTGTATTTAAACCGTTCGTTACGATCTCCGCGCTCGCTTCTGCAACGCCCTGATTGCTTCACTATTAATGCAACGGCTGGCGACCATGTTGAAGCTCAGTCGAGGGGAGGCGGCGACTCTACGACTATACAACTATACGTACTCATACCCATACCCATACCCATACCCATACCCATACCCATACCCATATTCATAGTCAGTCTCAGTCGCAGTTGTAGTCGTAGTCGTAGTCGTAGTCGTACTTAGTCACGCTCAGCCGCT